GTGTATATATATATGTATGCATATTTTAATGAGATTATTTCTTCATCTATTTAAATCAAGAATTATAGATGAGATTCGAGCATTGTGCTTCACTGTCTTGATTGCTATTAGTAAAGTCATGTTTTATTAAATTACGATTTTAATTATCAGTTTGACCTTTTTATGAATCTATTATATCATGTGTATTTCTATGATATGTATTTCTAAGCAATAATTTATCCCTTAAAGATAAATGAATAATTAAATAGATGGAGAATGTATTTTATTCATAATCTTTATAAAATATAACTTATAGCTATTCCCTTATAATTATATAATTAGTTTTTTTGAGGTCCTTTAATTGATTTAGGTAAACTATTTCGAAAATTACCTTGTTAATTGGTTGAATACTAATTAGTAATACTTCACTTGTCAAGGATATAATAAAACAAAACATAGTTTAAGTTCGGACCTAAGAATCCTTTATATAATGCTCGTCAATTATTACTTATTCCAATGCTCAGAATACCCGTAATTTGTTCAGGTTAGCCAAACATTGATCAAGTCAATTGGGTTTCAACCTTGTCTATTATCTTAAAACAATAATTTATACATGCAAGCGCATTTTCTAGATAAATTGTATCATCTGGGGTGATGGAAACAATAAACAAATTGTCCAAATTCAATCCCTTAGCTTATAATTATGTGGTGATGATAACCATGATACGGGGCTAATAAGGAAATGGACCCCGCTGATTGTGGAGGAAAGACCAACAAATAGGTTACGAATAAAAAAGGTCAAAGAAGTCACATGATTGCTTGTTCAAGCTACGGAGAAGGAAACATTGATCACAACAAACAAAGAGACAAAGTTTCATATTGGGCACGAAGAAGAAACAAGATGGATAAATTTGATTCAAGCAATGGAAGAAGAAGCTAAAGTGGAGCCTTATGCTACCACATAGTATAACAATACAAGGGACTGCATATACCCATACAGAAACCACACTGGAAGCTGAAGAAAGGCCTACGCGACCACACCTATGTGGCCGTATAGTACAAAATTGGGTAGCGATTTTCCAAATTTTGCCTAGATTTCTATTTTTGTTAAAACTTTTTTTATTGGTACCTCTTTAATATCTTTTAGGCATAATTCCTTTTTTAGTTAGGTTTTTATGAGTTCCTTATAGAATATGATACATTCTCTTCATTGTAAAACACATAATTTGAGAGATCTTATTGCGAGACATATTGTTTTCAACTCGTTCATCGAATTAATTCTAAACTTATCAAGAATTTAAATTCTTATAAAGTTCGTAAGTTTTGTGATCACGGGTCAAGATATTATTTGCAATTGTTTTGATTCTTTGGTCTAATAATTTATTGGGTCCAGCTTTTCAAATGTTGATTCTTGGCTTTTTTGGGTTTGATCTAATCTGTCGTGGATTTTATAGCTACAATTGCTACGTGTGTTCGTATCAGTTGGTATCAGAGCCGAGGCTCCAAAAATCAAGGTTATATCATTTATTTCTTTTGTTGTTTTGTTTAAATCTTCATCTTCACTCTTCGTGTTCTTTATATTTTGAGTCATTCAATCCAATCAAATTACCAAAAAAATAAATAATAAATAAAATCAAAAGTTATTTATGTTGTAAATTAGTGTCCAAATCAATTCCATTTCAAATTTTTGGGTATTCGTTGAATTCTCACTCGTTTTGTAAAAAAATATAGTTATCACAAAAAAGACTCCAAAGGCAAAAGTGTCCTATTCAAATTCAAGAAGCACTTTTTTGAATTTATCCTTAGTGTTCCATTCTAAGGGCCAATTCCTACTTTCGTGATCCTTCTAGAATCAAATTTCCTTACTCAAGTCTTTATTTGAACTTCACAAGGATTGAATTTAGATGGAGGTCGTATTAGTTTTTTAAAGTGCTTGCAAGAAAGCATTTAGTGGATAAAGACAGACTGGTGAGACTTAAAAAGGGAAAAAGCCAGATTGAGTGATAGACAAGTGTACACACGAGTGGCAAATATTATTCTAGATTTAGGATGTTCGACAAAGACGATTCTACTTCAAGCGGGAAGAATGGTCAACTCATTGTGATGAAGGAGATGATACGACAATTTGAAAGACTATTTGAGGACATGCGAGATAAGATGGATATGCAAGAGCCGTAGATGGAGAGGCAAGACACGTTGCTTACTAATTTATGTAGAGAACAACCTAGAAAAGTTCCGAATGCAAGGAGGCATGGTAGGTAGGAGCCTAGAGCGGATATTGGTGGTGAAAATGAAGTGGATAGTGGAATTGATGATGATGCACTAGTGGAGGCTAAAAATGGGAATGATGAGGAATAGAGAATATACACATGGTGGGGGGGGGGGGGGGGGGGGCTAGATATTATGTTGGAGATGGAGTTGATAGAAATATAAGCAATATTAAAATGACAAATCCTTCATTCAAATAGAGGAGCGATTTGGAGGCATATTTGGAATGGGAGAAGAAAATAGATTTTATATTTGATTGCCATAATTACTTGGAGAAGAAAAATGTAAAACTTGCCGTCATTGAATTTACTGATTATGCTAGATCAAATAGCAACATCTAGGAGGAGAAATTATGAGAGACCAATTGAAACATGAGGAAAATTGAAGGCTATCATGAGGAAGATGTTCGTCCTTAGTCGTTAGTATAGGGATCTGTATCAAAAATTACAAAGCCTTTATCAATGATCTAGAAGTGGAGGATTATCACAATAAGATGGAGATCGCCATGATTAGAGCGAATGTTGAGGAGGTTTGAGAGGTCACCATGGGCTGATTATTGAATGGTTTGAACATGGAGATAACTAATGTTGTAGAACTACAATATTATGTAGAGTTGGAGGATATGCTACATGTAGCTGTGGTGATGGAAATGCAATTGAAGAGGAAGGGAATAGCTAGATATCCATCAGGTTTTTCGGGTCCTAATCTTTCTTGGAAATCGAAGTGGGATAACAATAAGGGCGATAAGGATGTTTCAAAGAGTAGAATTGAGCTACCAATGGGAATAGAGGAAGTTGCTAGCAAAGTTACACCCAATGCGGATTCACAACTCCTTAGAAATTGAGATATCAAATGTATTAGGTGATTGGGATCAAGACACATTACTTTGCAATGTCCAAACAAAAGGGAAATATTTTTGCGAGACAATGGAGAAGTGGTGAGAGATGCTAGTGATGGCGAGAAAGTGATGTATACAGTGGGCCAGATATTGACAATAAGGCAAGCTCCTAGCGCTCAAATCAAAATGGATAATTTAAAGCAACAAATGGAGAACATATTTCATATGTGGTGCCATGTCAATAACAAGGTATGTAGTATGATTATTTATGGGAGGTAGTTGTACCAATGTTGCTAGCACTACACTTGTTGAGATATTGGATTTAACCATGCTAAAACATCCTAGAGCCTACAAATTGCAATGGTTGAATGAATGTGGAGAGGCTATAGTGAATAGGCGAGAGTTTGTGAGTATTCCGATTAGGAGGTGTCATGATGAAATGATGTGTGATGTAGTTCCTATGCATGTCGGGATTATTTTGTTGGGCAGGTCATGACAATATGATATGAAGGTGATGTATGATGGGTACAAAAATAGGTACTATTTTACTAATTATGGGAAATCCGTTACTCTTGAACTATTAACACAAGACCAGTTTATAAAGATCAAATTAAATTGAAAAGTGGAAGATTAAAGAATGAGAGAAAAAGAGTGTAAGATTGATCTTTCCCTAACAAGAGAGCAAGAGAGAAAATAGATCTATGATCTTGTTAGTTTATAAGGAATCACTCCTCAATCTTGAGGAATCTAAGTTATCCCTCCCTAGTGTGGCTATTTTTTTGTTACAGAAATTCAAAGACTTGTTTTCGAACGACATACTTAGTGGCTTACCATACATTCGTGGCATTGAACATCAAATTGATTTCGTACTGGAAGCTATCATTTCAAACACGACAACTTGTCAGAGTAATCTTGAGGAGACCAAGGAATTTTGAAGGAAAGTGGAAGAATTGATGAGCAAAGGGTGTGTGAGGAAAAATATAAGTCAATGTGTCGTGCCAGTGCTACTTGTGCTGAAGAAAGATGGAACCTAGAGGATGTGAATAGATTGTAGGGAAATCGACAACATAACGATAAAAAATGTCAACCTATATCTAGGTTTGATGATATTCTGATGAAATATATGGATTATGCGTGTTTAGTAAAATAAATCTTAAAAGTGGATATCATCAAACTAGAATGAGAGAGGGAGATGAGTGGAAAACTACTTTTAAGAATTAGTATGGTTTATATGAGTGGTTAGTCAAGCCGTTTGCACTTACAAATACATCTAGCACATTTATGAGATTAATGAATCATGTCTTGCATGCATTTATTGGTAAATTTGTAATAGTTTACTTCGACGATATCTTGGTATCTAGTAAGGATTTAAATGAGCATGTATGACTTTTAAAATGTGTGTTTGTGGTCTAATGACAAGAAAAAATTTGTACTAACTTTAAAAAGTGTACATTTTGCTTAAAAAAATTTGTTTTCCTTCATTATGTTGTTAGTGCAAGGGTATTGAAGTGAATGATGAGAAAATCAAGGCCATCAAGGATTGGCCAATACCTAAAAGTATAACTGAGATAAAAAGCTTTTATAGTTTGGCTAGCTTCTATAGGGATTTTGTTAAAGATTTCAGCATAATTGCTACATCACTCACGGTATTATTGAGAAAAGTGTAGGATTTCATTGGAGCATTGAACAAGAACATGGTTTTAACACTATTAATGATAGGTTGTGTGCCACACTAGTTTTATATCTACCCAACTTTAACAATATTTTTTAGATTGAATGTGATGCCTCTAGAATAGATATTGGAGCTATTTTGATGCAAGAATGAAGGTCAATAGCTTACTTAGTGAAAAGCTAAGCGGAGTAGCTCTCAACTATCCTATATATGACAAGAAGTTGTATGACAAGTTTTGAAGACATGGCAGCACTGCCTACAACCAAAGGAATTTGTGAGTCATACTGATCATGAGTCCTTAAAACATTTAAAGAATCGAGGTAAACTAAACAAGAGACATGCATTGTGGATGGAGTTCATCGACACATTTCCATATGTTATTTGGTACAAACAGGGTAAAGAAATGTGGTAGTAGAGGCACTGCCAAAGAGGTATGTACTTCTTACTTCTTTAGGTATCAAATTGCTAAAATTTAAATATCTTAAGGACATGTATGCTAATGACCTGGACTTTTCTAATATATATGAATCATGTGACAAAGGTGCTATAGATAGTTCTTTAAGCATGATGACTATTTATTTGAAGAGAATAAGTTATGTGTACCTAGGTGTTCGATAAGAGAATTTATAGTACGTAAAGCACATAATGGAGGTTTAATTGGTCACTTTAGAATTAAAAAAAAAAACTTGGAAATGTTAAATGAACACTTGGCCTAGATGCAAGTTGATGTTGATCGCATTTTTAGTATATGCATCACTTGTAAAAAGGCTAAGTCCAAAATTCTACCTCAAGATTTGTATATACCATTACTCTTTACTAGTGAACCTTGAGTTGATGTGTCTATGGACTTTGTATTGCATTTACCTAAGTCTAAGAATGGAAGATATTCCATTTTGGTAATGGTAGATAGATTTAGTAAGATGACACATTTCATTCCATGCCATAAAACTGACGATGCACTAATATCGTAGATTTATTCTTTAAGAAGTAGTGCCTTTACATAGGGTACCTAGAAGTATTGTATCGAATTGAGATGTTAAGTTATTCAATCATTTTTTGAAAATTTTGTAGAGTAAGTTATAGACTAAACTATTATTCTCTACTACTTGTCACCTACAAATAGATGGGCAAAGAGGTTGTTAATAAGATTATGATACAATTATTGTGCACTATAGTCAAAAGAACTTGAAGAGTTGGGATGATTACTTGCCATTCATAGAATTTACACATAATATGGCCATGCATTCTACGATTTTTTATACTTCATTTGAAATTTGTTATGGTTTTAATCCATTAACATCTTTGGTTTTTTACCGATAGATGAGAGAGGTAGCTTGGATGGAAAGAAGAAAGTCAAGTTGGTAAGATCCCTCCATGAGAAGGTATGATAGCAAATTGAGAAGAAAAACTGAGCTTTATGCTTCTTAAGCCAATAAAGGATGAGAGCACGTTACATTTGAATCAGGAGATCGAGTTTGGGTACATATAAAGAAGGAACGCTTTCTAGCTGACAATGCCTGTAAATTGGAACTTCCAGATGAGTATAATATTTCTGCTACTTCCAATGTTTATGATATTTCTTTGGTTGATGCAAGTGGAGATTTTCGGATGAATCATTTTGAAAAGTGAGAGAATGATGAGAACCACGTATGAGAGCTAGCAAGGACAAGGACTCGTTGATTGTGGGAGAAGGACCAATGACTAGTTCACGGGCAAAGAAGGTCAAAGAAGCTATAGGATTGCTTGCTCCAGCTACAGTGGATGAAATAATAATCACAACAAGTAAAATGACAAATTTCATATTGAGTATGAAAGAAAAAATAAGATGGATCAAGTTGGTTCAAGCGACCTCATAGTATAACAATACATGTGGCGACCTCATAGTATAACAATACACGTGGTCACATGTACCAATATAGAAACCACATCGAAGGTTGAAGAAATGTCTATGCGAACGTATAGTACAAAATTGGGATGTGATTTTCTAAATTTTGCCTGGAATTCTTTTTTTTTTTTTAATTTATTAAAAACTCTTTTTATGGTATCTCTTTGATATCTTTTAAACATAACTTCCTTTCTAATTACGTTTTTATGAGTTCACTATAAACATGACTCATTTTCTTTATTGTAAAACACATAATTTGAGAGATATTATTGCTAGGTATATTGTTTTAAACACATTCTTCATCGAATTAATGTCGAACTTATCAAGAATTTAAATTCTTGTGGAGTTCAACAATTCAAGTAAGGTTCGTAAGTTTTGTGATCACGGGGTCAAGATATCATTTACGACTATCTTGGTTATTTGGTTCAATAATTTATTGGGTTGAGCTTTTCAAACATTAATTCTTGACTTTCTTAAGTTTGTTCTAATCTGTTGTGGGTTTTATAGCTACAATTGCTACGTGGATTCACATCACGTGGTTTTTCTCACTCACTTAAAAGCACATTAATATGTTAATTGTTTTGCTCGTCAATGAAGTTTTTGTTTTAGTATTGCATATTTGCAAGTGCGTGTAATAGTTTGGACTTAGTAGCATCTAAGTACTAATAATAAATGTTTTGAAAATTGATTTGGACATTGACAAGAAAAAGAGAGAGGGTCGAGGTTTAAGGGCCCAAGATTTGAACCGAGGTTGAACGGAAAATTATATATGTATATACATATATGTATACATATCTAAGAAAAATGGTAGACATTTGATGAAACAAACCAAAATATCTTTCTTTTTGGAAAGGTTGG